TGTGGCTACGCCAGGGTGTGGTTTGCGATCGGTGCCGTTGGGGCCTGGGGGACACGACACTGTCCTCGTCGGGCCTTCTCAGGGCGCGGCGGAGAGCTCCATCGAGTTTCCCGCCCGCCCCTCAGGGTTCCCCCCCAGGGTGCCGGTCGCAAAGCACACCTTTTGCAGGCCACACCCTTCAGAGTCGCCGAAAAGGGTCGGGACTTCTCAGGACCCCATCTTGAAAAATCAAGACAGCGCTAGTGGGGTGACCGCACTGTTTTGAGAATCGGGCCGTTCTTTTCGAAGAGGTCTCGGGCGAACGAGTTCGGGAGTTCCGAAGTCACCGCGCGGTCTGTCACCACACCGTTTCGGGACCCCCAAGGTTTGTCGGAAGTCTCGTGCGGATGTTTGTTTTTTGGCGGGTGTGCTGGCAATCCCATTGTTCACAGACCCGTTTGTTTGTGGTTTCGGGGGGTTGTTTACGGTCGCCGGCTTGCCGCGGCGTCCATGCAGAGTTCGGGACTCCTCTCTCCACCGTAACAATTCGGGCATCCGACGATGTGATTTTCAGTCTGCGGATCCCAAACTCCCGGCCCCTTCTTCCCCCACCTCCCCGCGTCGTGAAGCAGAGGCGACAGCGGAAGGGTTCTCGCAGTTTTCGGCCTCCTGGGCGGCACTCACCGGGCCCAGGGGTGGAGGGGGAGAGGGAGAGGGAGGGAGGACGGAGGGGGGCGGAGGGGGCGGGGGAGAGTGGAAGAGAGTAGGGGCGAGAAGGGAGGGAGGGCAGGAGAGGCGTCGAATGATTCCCATAAGTTTTGTTGCTCGCTTGGTCGTGCAGCCGTTCCGCTTGAAACTTCCCCGCAATGGATTCGGGAAACGTGCCCTCGTCTCAATGCCGGCTGCGTTTTCCTGTCTTCGGGTCTTTCTCCCAACGCAGCCGGGTGAAATTCCGTGCCCTCCGATGATTGACCAATTGAATTGGACTGCCTTGACTGAACTGGGGCACTTTTGACAGCACACGTCAAGCCGCCGTGGCGCAACCGCAACCGCAAACAGACAAAAATTCGACCCGCCCGCGGGCGCAACCGCAACCGCAACCAGGCGACAGAGTTCAACCCGCCCGCGGGCGCAACAGAAATCGCAACCAGGCGACACATTTCAAACCGCCCGTGAACTTGAGAAAACCGCAACCGCGACCGGGCGGCACATTTCAAGCCGCCCGATGGCGCAACCGCACACGCAACCGCAACCGCAACCAGGCGACACATTTCAAACCGCCCGCAGGCTTAACCGCAACCGTAATCAGGCGACATACGTATTTCAACCCGCCCGCGGGCGCAGCAGCAACCGCAACCGCAACCAAGCGACGCATTTCAACCCGCCCGCAACAGCAACCGCAACCAACCCGCCCCAGGGCGCAACCGCAACCGCAACCGCAACCAGGCGGCAAATTTCAACCCGCCCGCCCGCGGGCGCAACCGCAACCGCAACCAGGCGACACATTTGAACCCGCCCGCGGGCGCAACCGCAACCGCAATCAGGCGACAAATTTCAACCAGCCCGCGGGCGCAACTGAAATCACAACCAGGCGACACATTTCAAACCAACCGCCCGCGGGCGCAACCGCAACCGCAACTGCCACCAGGCAACACATTCCAACCCGCCCGCTGGCGCAACAGAAGCCGCAACCAGGCGACACATTTCAACCCGCCCGCGGGCGTAATCACACCCGCAACCGCAACCAGACGACTCATTTCAACCCGCCCGCGGGCGCAACCGCAACTGCAACCAGACGACACAGTTCAACCCGCCCGCTGGCGCAACAGCAACTGCAACCGCAACCAGGCGGCAAAGGTCAACCCGCCCGCGGGCGCAACCGCCCGAGGAGCAGGAGGTGCAGGAGCACAAGAAAGAGTAGGAGGAGGAGGGAGAGGAAGAGGAAGAAGAGATGGAGCGGGAAGAAGAGGATGGGTAGGACGGCCAGGAGGAGGAGGAGGAGGACGACGACGATGAGAAGGAGGGGAGTGCAGGGGTGGTCGTGTTTCAGGGGGTTGCTGGAGCGGGTGCCGGTGGAGGAGGACACCCAATGGCACGATAGGAAGATCGAGAGCCTGGAGGATGGGAAGGAGAAGGAGGAGGAGGCCGATGAGGAGGAAGAAGAGGAGGACGCGTTGCCCGCGGTTCTCCGCCGGGACACTGCAGCGGGGAATTCCCATTCCACGCTGCTGCCTCTGACTTTAATGCACTGGGGTGCACGTGGCCGTGCTCTCACTCCTGGCCCCTATAGGTGCCTACTCCTCGACCCGCCTCTTCATCTTTGCTGCTATGAGGCTGCTCTGCCGGGGTATTTGATGAAGCTCTCTGGAGACGCAGGGTTTGTGGAGCCGGGGAAGGGCGCCGCGGCACGAAGGAGCATACGGAGGGCAACAAAAGAAGCAGTCGGGCTCTCTGACACTGGGGGGCTCCGGAGGCTGGAACGCAAAGGAGAAGTGCGGGCGGGGGGCGCCCCGGGGCCGCCAGGACTGGAGGGATGAGAGGGGCTCGGACGAACTCCCACAGAGCTCGGCCCTCCACACGGCTCGCTGTCTCTCTCTCTCTCTCTCATCCTCTCTCTCTCTCTCTTTCTCCTTCTCTGTATGTGTATACATATATATAAATATCGTTTTGTGTGTTTCTGTGTCCTGGGATTCTTCGGCTTGTGAGCAGTTGACCCTTCCTCTTCCTTTGTCTTCCGTGCTCTCGGCCTCCTCTGCGTATGCCGCCCCTCTTGCTGGCCATGCCCGCGCCGCTCTCTCCCGCACCCCCCCTACGTGGTGGTGGTGGTGGCCGTGCGTGCCCCCCCCCCCCCCTTCCGTTCGCGGCTCCCAAGCGCGTGGCGCTGTCGTTCGCGGCCCGGGCGCCGCAGGGCGTCCCTTTGGGCGCCCGCCCCTGCGCCCGCGCCGCCTCGCACGCCGCGCGCGGCTTCAGGGATTCTTCGCTTCCCGGGGTGCCTCCCGCCCCGCGCGCCAGCGGCGCCGCCCCCTGCGCCCCAGGGGGGGGGGGGGGGCAGCTCCACCGAGCGCCCGGGGCGCGCAGAGGCGGGCGCGGAGGTGCCGCCGTTGTCTGGTCCCCCAGGGCAGGCCGGCCACGAGTGGGGGAGCCGTGGTCCTTACCCCCCCGGGGGACCCATCGATTTGATTTCGCCACCCCTCTCGAGACCCCAGGGGGGTAAGGACCACAGCTCCCCCAGTTATGGCCGGTCGGGGGGAGGAGGAGCGGCACCACCGCGGGGCCACCTCCAGCGAGGAGGTCCACCAATTCATCGCCGGTCTCCCGGAAAAGCATGGGACAATCTGGGAAGTGGGGGGGGGAGACGACACTCCAGAAAATGTAGGGGATCCTGGGATGTATGTGTATTTAGTCGCGTGGCCCCTTCAAAGCTGTTCTTTGGGAAGGTCCTGGTGTCCAGGACCAGCTGCCTCCAGGACCCGCTGCCCGAGCGGGGCACAGGGGGTGCCTCGGAGGAGAGGGGGGCCACACCACCAGGCCCCCCCCCCACCCACGTGGCTCCTCCCGCAGGCAGTCCCTGGTGGGGGTGGTGTCGCGGGTCCTTGTTCCTGCAGGGGAGGGGGGGGGGCTTGGCATCGCTCGGGCTTCCTGCGGCGAGGACCATCGAGGAGCATCCTTGATCCTCTGGCGGAGGGGAAGAAATAATAATAAAATTAAAAAAAACGCACGACACCAACAAAAACGCAGGGACTGGACGTCCGAGCGATGGCCAGCTCGTCGTTCCTGCAGGGACGGGGGGGGTGGCCCGCAGAGCGCCCCCCCACGCACGCCTCGGCATATATCGCTCGGCCGTGCGCATGTCTTCTCGGCGGGGCCAGCGCCAGAACATCGGGACCCTTTTGCGCATCCTGGGCCATCTCCAGGCACAAAATCAGGAGGGGAAGAAACACACAGACACAATTGATCGTCGACTCCCAGGAACATATGGGAAAATATGGGGGGGGGACAGAACCCCAGAACATATGGGAAACTATGGGGAGCATGTTTATTTGTGTGTATTTACTGGTGTGTCCCAGGGCCCTTCACAGAAGCGCGCACGAAACCAGACAGCGCACGGGGACCGGACGTCCGAGCGACGGCAAGACGCGTGGACCCAGCGAGACCTCGTACTCCGCAGGGGGTGTCCGGAAAGCGTACGATAGGTTTGCGTCGTGTCGACCAGCGGCGACCCCAGCGCGGGCGTTCAAGGTTGAACGCCGCCGGCGACCCAGAATCGATCGATGTTGAACGATCGGACGTTGCGGCAGCGGCCGATCGTTCAAGGTTGAACGATCCCTGCGGTGTCAAAAACCAACGCTGGGGTCGGCACGACGCGAACCTGCCGTAAACGTGTCCGCGTTTTCGCGGGCCGCGCCCCCCTGGGCGGCGTTCCTTAGATGCGAGGCGCGTGGTGCTGCAGATGCCCCGCGCGACACGTGACTATGCGACCGCGTATCCACGGCACCGCGCCCCAGAATCCAGACCGCGAGGGCGTGGATGGTCATAAGCTCGCCGCTCGTGAGTCTGCATTCAAGTCGGGGGAGCCCCCCTACACCGGGATATTCGACGACAAATAAGAGATAGCCCCAAACAGATGCCAAAATGGCCAAAAAGTAGTCAAACAATTGTCCCCAGGCTATCTCTTTTTTTCTTTACTATTTTTGAAGATTCCCCCTGTAGAGGGAGGCGCCCGACTCAAATCTACATGGGCCTGGGCGGACTGCGCACGTCCGTGCTCTTCCCGCTGCCCGGAGGCCCGGGCCCTGCAGCAACGCTGTCTCGCAGCTCCTCGGTGGCTCGCGCGCCACCGCCGCCCAGGACTTTAAGTCGGGCCTGTCCCTCTACAGGAGGGATGTTTAAAAATAGTCAAAACATAGGCTGGGGACTATTTTTTGAGTATTATTGTCGAGCATGTTTTTTGATATTCTTCGGGTATTTATAATTTTTCCTCCAAAATCCACCTGTAGGGGGACAGGCCCGACTTAACCCAGGACCTGATCGTCAAGCTCATGGAGTCGGCCAACGCGGAGGCGGACCACAACGCCTTCTGCAGCACCGAGCTTGCCACCAACAAGCAGACGCGCGAGAACAAGGCCTCGAAGGCCGAGGATGGTGACGCCGCGACGCCCTGCCTTCTCCTCCTCCTCCTCCTCCTCAGCCGCGTTCTGCCCTCCGTTCTCGTCCTTGTCCTCGGCGTCCTCGTCCTCGGCGTCCTCGTCCTCGGCGTCCTCAATCCTCGACCCGCTCCTCCTTGGCCTCGCCATCGAGGGCGTTCTTGCAGCCGAAGGGCGCAGCTCGGGGAGGTCAGGGCGAGGCGGCGTCTCGGTCCCAGGCGGCCTTGGAGTGCAGTCTGGGCCGCGCCTCCCCCGCCCTCGCGGTAGGTTCGGAGTCGGGTCAGGCTTTTGGCAATCCAGTGCGCTGTGTGCGAAGCTGGCCTTTTCTCAGCCGGCTCGCGCCTCGACGTCCCACCCGCATCGGCAGTTGGGCGCGGCTTTGACCCCCTTGTGCTCCCCGCTTTGGCGGAGGATGAGCAGTGGACGAGGCGAGCATGTAGCGGGGGAGGAGTGCGGAGGGGGAAGTGGAGGATGAGGGGAAGGAGGGAGATAGGGAGGGAGGGAGGGAGGGAGGGAGGAGGAGGAGGAGTATAAAGTGGAGGAGGCGGAGGAGGAGGAGGAGGAGGAGGAAGCAGGAACCATGAGGAGGAGGAGGAGGAGGAGGAGGAGGAGGAGGAGGAGGAGGAGGAGGAGGAGGAGGAGGAGCAGGAGCAGGAGCAGGAGCAGGAGCAGGAGCAGGAGGAGCTGGAAGCGGAGGATGATGAGGAGGAGGAGGAGGAGGAAGAGGAGGAGGGATACGAAGAATGGTTGAGGGCGGGAGGGCCCAGACGCCCTCCGGTCGGTAAATTGTTGAGTCGAATCGTGGAACGGAACTTTTGGCCTTCCACTTTTTGCTATATGTCTTGTCTTGCTTCTCCCTCTCCCCGTCTTGTGCCCTTTCACCCTCCCCCCCCCCCCTGCCGCGCTCCTTCTCACTCCGGCGACGCTTCGGGTGCTGGGCGGGGCGGTCCTGGAGCCGGCGGCGGGCGCGGGGCGGTTGGGCGCGGTGGCGCGCCCACCGCGCCCGAAGCGGCTTGGCCGCCGCCGCCGACGGGGGTGGGCGGCCCATCGGCAGCGCGCAGCCCGAGCGCGAAGTCGGGGTGGACCTGCTGTCGCTCTTCCCCCTGCCGAGGCTGGGTGATTATGCGAGAGGGGGTGGCTGCAGCTCCAGGGGCGCGGGGCTGCCCGGCTCGCAAGGCGGGCCTGTCGCGACTTCAATGGCGCCATCGATGCATTGAATTGGTTGGCGAACCGAGCTTCCACAGGCGCGAAGCCAAACTTTGATCAAATGAGGGTGCACGCGCGGATCCTGGATTGCGTCGCCGAGAGCATGCCGCCCCTGGAGACCGCGACCCCCCCCCCCCCGCGAGCAACCTTCGCGGAGTTGTTGCACGGCCGCAATGTCTACGACGAGCCGGCCGGACGGAACGTCGGGCGCCTTCGTTGGGGCAGATATCTTTACTTGAGACCGCGGTAGGAGGGCCACGGCTGCTTGAGATCGTCCCTGCCCATGCGCGCCATTTTCTCGAGGGCGGCCTATCTCGGGTGCTTTTGGATGAGGAAGCGCTCCGTCACCGTCTGGATCATTGCGATGTCTTTCCCATTCGGACACTTCGTGCATTCGTTTGATCAAGCTGCTCTACTCGAAGGGAATGCTGGTCTACCACGATGAGTCAGAGCGTCGAGAGGAAGTCGGTATCTTCTTCGCGGCCAAGAAAAGCGACCAGCTTTGCCTGATCATCGACACCAGAAGAAGCAACCTCCACTTCACCTCGCCCCCAGGAGCATCCCTGGTGACAGCCAGGGGCTTGGCCCGCATCGAGGTGTAAGGCGAGGGTTTCGACGCAGACCTCGGCGCGAGTTTGGAGTTCGCGCTGGGCACCCTCGACATCAGCGACGCCTTCCACCGTTTCAGGATCGACTGGGAGCTCTCGGGTTTCTTCTGCCTGCCGAGCGCCCTGGCCTCGGAGGTCGGGATGGCGGGCGCCGTGGTGGGCTGTCTTCCCGGCGGCGTCTGACCGCCGCCTGGCGCTTGCCTGTTTCGCGCTGCCCACGGGCTTCACCTGGTTGCTCTACTTTTGCGATGAAGTGGGCGAGGCCGTCATGGGCATGCCGCCGGAGCTGGCGGACGCCCACCGCATGAACGCGCGCGGGCCCGCCGCGGCGCCGAGGCGGCCGCGGCGCTCGCCGGGGGCGGCGGCGCCCAGTGCACGTGCGTGGACAACCTGGGCGCACTCGGCTGCGGCCGCAAGCCAGCGGCGGACGGGCCGGCGGCAGCCGCCGCGCTCCCCGGCGCGGCCGGGCGGGGCGAGGCGCTGGGCCGCGCGCTGGGCGGCGGGGCGCTGTGCGCGAGGCTGATCGCCAAACGCTGCCGGCGGGTGCGGCAGGGGCTCAGCTGGGCTCTCAGCTGCCGAGCGCTCCCTGGTTGGGCCTGGGAGATCGTCGTCGGCCACTGCGCCTGCTGCGCGATGTGCAAACGAGACCTGCTGCCAACCTTCAACGCCATCTACAAGTTCTTCGCGGCCAAGCACCACCAGGTCGCCGCGCTGTGGCTCACCGCCCGAGCGAAGCTGGTCGCCTTCCGCAGCCTGATGCCGCTGTTGCTTGCGGGGGGGGGGGGGGGGGGGACTGGGCGCTGCCTCGGTGACCGCTGGTCTGCCTCTCGGACGCGCCCGAGCACGGCTACGCGGCGCGCGCCTCGCTCTTCGAGCTGGAGGCCGCGAAGGGCATCGGCCGCGTGCAGGAGCGCCCCCGTTCCCGTCGCTTGGGCGGCCATTCTGCCCGAGCGCACTTCTTCGCGATGAATGGGGTCGCGATGACTGGCGAGGGCGGTCTGGAGTCTGCAGAGGCGCTGTGGGGAGGGCGACGACACCATTCACCAGGCCGAATGGGGGGTGGATTCCATATTCAAAGAGATGGACGAGGCGATCTTCCGAGGGCCCCGCTGGGCGGAGCTCGTCGCCAGAGAGTGGCGAAACGCGATGGAGGATAGTTCGGTGTGCGAGTCGCGCGCCCTGCTGCGAGCGGTGGGGATTCAGCGCAGTCTGTCGCCGCAGCTGGGTGAGCATCTAGTCGTCATGAGCGATATGTTGCCCGCAGTATTGTGCATGGAGAGACGGAGAGCTAAACGCTTTACCGTTCGTTCTTGCATCCGGCGGGCCATCGCCCTCTGCCTTGCCCATCGGCAAGCGGCTTCACATGGGGTGGGTTCCGAGCGAGCTTAATTCTAGTGATGAGGGTTCCCGTCTCTCTGACCCGAAGTATGTCCCGAAAAAGACCCTGGTCATCTCGTGGGAGGGACTCGCCGAGGATGACGCAGGCGCCGTAAGTCGTTGGCTTCGACAAGGCACAGTGAAACAACATGGATCGGATTTCAATTGTGATAAATTTCGCTGAGACGTAAAAGCGGAGTAGAGCAAGCATGACAAGAGCATCGAGAATATGGGCAAGCTCAACCGCCACGAGCTCGATATCGCGACCAACATGGCAACGGCAACTAGCAGGCAAGCAACCGCATGCACCTCTACCAGGCCCAGCGCTGCCCCTACTGGGACCCCACAGGGCCGCGCACATGGAGCACGTCAGCCCCAGGTGGCCCCCGACGTGGACTTCAAGAGCCCCCATGCCGACAGCTCCGACAGCCCCGAGGGCCCCCCTGCTAAACCGACATCCTCCTGTACTTCTGCTTTGTTGGCCCGCGAGGAGGCCCCGTTTGGATCTTCGCTGCCGCCGGCGGCCGAGCCCGACTCTGATGGGCTCCAGGGGGGCGGCGGCGGCCGGCAGCCGCGGCAATCGGCGACGCCGAGACCGCGCCCGCCGAGGTAGGGCAGCCTGCCAAGCGCTCGCGGGTCTTGTCGCCCAGGCTGCCGGCGGCGACTGCGCATTCCAGCGAGCCCCGCCATTCGCTGCCGAGGCGGCGTCGCGCGCTGGCCGGGGCCGCCCCGGGATGCCGCCCAGCGGCTGCTGGGCCCGACGCCTCCGCGCATCTCAAAAAGCCTTTAGAATCTCGAGGCGTTCGGAGGTGGCCAAAGCGCGGGCAGCGGAGAGAGCGGCGCCACGACCAAGGCGGCCGATGAGAAGGAGGCCGCTCGCACTCGCCGGCGCCGACGCGCTGCCAGACATCGGGGCTGAATCGCGGGCGCTCGCCCCCCCGACGCTGGCGGGCCCGGCGCTGCTGGGGCGCTGGGCCGCGAGGGAAGACGCGGAGGTGCGGTGTCGCCAGGGGCTGGAGGTCTTCGCCACTGCCGCGGGCGGAAGCCCGCTCGTCGCGGCCAGCGAGGTGGGCGCTGCTCTCGCGCGCAACATGAACGAGCTTTACGAAGCAGGTCACAACTCCAACCGTGGGGGCGCGCTGATGTCAGCCCTGTTGCACTTCCAGCCTCATGCACGGGAAGTTGGGGTCGTCCCGCCCCCCCCTGGGCCTGGAGAGGCCTCCAGGGCAGGCGCCGCCGCCGCGGTCGGCGCTCTCGGAACCCCGCGGTGCGCATGATATGGCCCGCTGCGATCTGGGACCTGCGCCGCCGTGGCCATTGGCCGATGGGGCCCCACATCCTCTGGGAGGTTGTGACCGCCGCAGGCCTGGGGAACTGCCCACCATCCAACGTCAGGATTTGGCGATGCCCGCGAGTGGGGGATCGGACGACCGGTCAGTGATCCTCTTCCCTTGGACACGGGCTGCCACAAGGAAGAACCAGATGCAGGACGGAGGGGTCAGCCTCACGAGCAGAATCCGCCCTTGGCTGCCTTGGATAATTTCGCACGTCGCCAAGGGGCCCCCCGAGAGCCGCCTCTTCCCGCGCAGCTGCCCGGGGCTCGTCGCGGAGTTCAACAAGAAACAAGACCAGGGAAAGGCTGCAGCTCGGCCGCCTCGTGCTGCGCCAGCGCAGGCACTCGGGCGCCCCTGGGCCTGCCGGGCCGCCGCCGCGACCATGCTGAGCTATAGCAGCTGGGCGGCTGGCAGTGCGAGTCGCCCCTGAAGAGGCACGAGAATGCGGCGCGGCTGAACCTCTCGGCCTCGAA